CCCAGAGGTAATGAGGACTCACTCACTATCCAGTTAACATTTATTCAGTGCCATCTTGGTGAAGGTGTCATTCTAGGTGCTGGGGATTTAGAGGTGAACTTTGCTTACATTCTAGCAGTAGCAGAATGACAAACCCAACACAGAAAAATTATAATTTCAGATAGCAAGTGAATATGTTCTCTAAACGTAGAAGATGAGCAGTAGTACAGAGAAGGACTAGGAGGAGGGGGCTCTGGTTTTTTAACTAGGGTGGTTAGGGAGGACCTCTCCAAGGAAGTGACAGACAGTAGGGCTGAGCCCTGGATGTTGAAGAAATAACCACACAAAGGTCTTGTGGGGGGAATGTTCCAGACAGAATACCAAGTGTAAAGACCTTGAGGTGAGAACAAACTGGGGTGTTTGTAAGGTAAATGGACCAGTGTACGCGGGCCTGGTGGATAGGGGCTGGGTCACGTAAGGCCTTATAGGCCATGTTAAGTAAGAAGTTTGGATTTTATTCTAATTCTTGTGGGAAGTCATTGAAGGAGTTTAAGCAGGACATGATGTGATCTGACTTAGGTTATAAGATTACTGGCTACTGTGTGAAGAATGGACTGTGTTTCCAGCTCATAACAGGTACCTGAGAATTGCTGAATGAGTGAATTTTCTGGTGACATTTGAAATACTGGAATTATTTTGACATTTTATTATTATACTGAAGCAACTGTTCCCGTCTTTCTGTGTCCTCACAGAGTGTTGAATGGCCTCTGAAATTCCCGCGAGAATTTGTCAGGATGGGCCTGAAACACCCAAAGGGCGTTCTCCTGTATGGCCCTCCCGGCTGTGCTAAAACCACCCTGGTGAGGGCGCTGGCGACAAGCTGCCATTGCTCCTTTGTGTCAGTGAGCGGCGCTGATCTCTTCTCACCTTTCGTTGGAGATTCAGAAAAAGTCTTGTCTCAGGTTTGTTTCTTTGTTTTTTCCCATGCAGTAGAGTTTACTTTTGAGTTATCTCATGTGTTATGAAATAACACATGGAATATTTTTTTTAAATAGTACTTAGTGTTTCTTCCTGATTAGACAAGTTATACTGTGTATTTGTTGAAAATATAGGAAAGTGTAAACAAGATATCCTCCATAATCCCTGTACCACTGTTAAGTTCACATTTTGGTGAATTTCCTTTGTCCTTTTTATTTATTTATTTTTCTTTTAAAGCAAAATCAAAGGCAAATTAAATATAGCTTCATTCTACTTTTTTAACTTGTCATTTAAAAAATTCTATAAGATATTCTTTAAATATATGGATTTTTTAACCCTTACATAATAGTCCATTGTTCCTTGTTTTATTTTTTTATCCCCTAATTATTAGACATTTAGAATCTGTCTATTTAAATTTTTTAAATTACAGGCATACCAAGGAGATATTGCAGGTTCAGTTCCAGACCACCGCAGTAAAGCGAATATCGCAATAAAGCAAGTCACGTGAATTTTCGGTTTCCCAGTGCATAAAAAAGTTATGTTTACACTATACCGTATGGAGCCCTGGTGGTGCAGTGGTTAAGCGCTCAGCTGCTAACCAAAAGGTCGGTAGTTCAAGTCCACCAGCCGCTCCTTGGAAACCCTGTGGGGCAGATCTACTCTGTCCTGTAGGGCTGCTATGAGTCGGAATCGACTCAGTGGCAATGGGTTTTTTTTTTTAACATAGTCTAATTAAGTGTGCAGTAGCATTATGTCTAAAAAAACAATGTACATACCTTCAGTTTAAAAAAACTTCATTGCTAAAAGATGCTAATCATCATCGGAGCCTTCAGCGATTTGTCATCTTTTTGCTGGTGTAGGTTCTTGCCTCAGTGTTGATGGCTGCTGACTGATCAGGGTGGTGGTTGCTGAAGGCTGGGGTGGCTGTGG